GTGCTGGTTCTTCAACATAATGCTGTTGGATTTCATCTTCTGTTAACACCTCAAACTGAGTCCTTAATTTCGTGATCCCCCCTCAAGCTTAGCACAAGGATTGTATAAATCACTAAGACTAAGCTTGGATAATAAAGACCAAAATTGAGGTGACAAAAGAGTTTTGGTGAAGAGATCTGCTGGCTGCGAGGAGGTACAAATGTGATAGAGAGCCAAGAAGCCAGACTTATAGAGATTACGGACAAGATGACAATCTCTGTCCAGATGCTTTGTTCGCTCGTGAAAAGTTGGATTGGCAGCAATGTGAAGGGCTGCTTTATTATCACACGCCAAAGGAACAGGAAGAATAGATGAAACCTGAAAATCCTGAAGGATGGAATGAATCCATTGCAGTTCGCATGATGTGGATGCCATGCTGGTGATACTCTGCTTCACAAGAGGAGCGGGAAACAGTTGTTTGTTTCTTTGTCTTCTAGGAAACAAGAGAACTGTCAAGAAATACACAATATCCAGTAATGGAGAACTGGGTTGAAGGACATTGTGCCCAATCAGAGTCACAAAAGGCTGTAACCGAGATCACAAGTGCTGGAGTAGAAAAGTCCCAAAGAAGGAGTTCCTTTGAGGTATTTGACTACATGAAGAGCCGCTTTCCAGTGGACGTCACGTGGAGCATGCACATATTGACTCAGTTGCTGAGTAGAGTGTGTCAAATCCGGCCGAGTGAAACCAAGGTAGAGTAAATGTCCCACCAATCTTCTGTATTGATCAGGTTGAGAGTAGAGAGGACTATTTGTATCTTGTAAGTTGAGACCTTTTGGTAAGGGAGTGGAGACTGGTTTGTAGCCAATCAAAGCCGTACTGTCAATAATATCCAACACATATTTGCGTTGGTTAAGAGTAATGCCGGCCTTAGTAGGGGCAATTTCAACTCCAAGGAAGTACTTTGCATCTCCTAAGTCCTTAATGGTGAAGGTGTGATGAAGAAACTGCTTGGTAGAAGAGATCATGGACTCAGAAGTGCCTGTCAGTAAAACATCATCTACATATACTAGTAAGAAGAGTGAATGATGTCCTTCAGTCTTGACAAATAGGCAGTGATCATTAAGAAGATTGTTGAAAGCCAAAACAACTAAGTTGCTAAGTAAATTCTTTGTTCCATTGTCTTGAGGCTTGCTTCAAACCTTATAAAGATTTCTTCAGTTTGCAGACCTTAGAAGAATCAGTACAAGAATAACCAGGAGGAAGCTTCATGTATAGATCTTCATCAATATAACCATGCAGGAATGCATTGTTGATGTCAAGTTGATGAAGATTCCATCTCTTGGCAGCAGCAATTGCAAATAAAAGTCTAACTGTAACAAGCTTTGCCACAGGAGAAAAAGAATCCACATAATCTTCACCTGCTACCTGATTGTATCCTTTAGCCACTAATTTGGCTTTATATTTATCAAGAGTACCATCTGCATTATATTTAACCCTGTATATCCACTTACAACCAATTGGCTGTTTTCCAGGAGGCAAATCTGTGACATCCCAAGTTTGATTTTTGTCTAAAGCATCAAGTTCTTGCTTCATTGCTTCTTGCCATTCTGGATGTATGCAGGCCTGTTCAAATGAATGTGGTTATGGAATTTTGGAAATGTTAGCTACAAAGGGCATATATGAAGGTGCAAGGATTGATAAAGCTGGAAGAAGTAGATGAAGAAGTAAAGGCAGAATAAGTTTCATAATTCTGCATCCAAACATGTGGTTTCCTAGTTCTATTACTAACTCGAATTTGTGGAGAAGGAAGAGTATCAGTGAGTGGAATAGAAGAAGAAGTACCAGAATCGGGTGAAAAGATAGCAGGAGTAATGATACCATCCTGATAAGGAAAAGAATGATCAACTGGTAGAGGAACTGATTGAGAAGAAGATTTAGAGTTTGAGGAAAAAGGAAAGATGTTTTCTTTGAAGATAACATCTCTTGAAGTATAAACTTTGTGATCTTCCAAATTATAGACTTTATAGCCCTTTTGGCCATTAGGATAACCAATGAACACCCCTTGAAAAGCTCTAGGCCCAAACTTATTAGAATGTGGAGAAGTGATGGTGAAAAAAACTTGACAACCAAAAGTTCTTAGATGAGTGATAGCTGGTAGCTTGGAACAAAGGATTTGATAAGGTGACTGCCAATTAAGTAAGGAAGAGGGGACTCTATTGATCAAATAGGTGGCTGTTAGAACAACTTCACCCCAAAACTTTTTTGGAAGAGAAGCTTGAAACATTAATACTCTAGCAACTTGCAAAAGGTATTTATGCTTTCTTTCTACAATCCCATTTTCCTGTGGGGTGTAAGGGTATGATTTTTGGTGTAAGATGCCTAATTTGGAAAATATGGACTGACAGTCTTGACTGATAAACTCTGAACCATTGTGAGTTCTAATGGTTTTGACTTTGGTATCAAATTGTGTTTGAACCATAAGAAAGAAGGTTTCTAAGACTGTTGGAACTTGAGTTTTGTACCGGATCAAATGTGTCCAAGTACATCTACTAAAGTCATCAACAATAGTGAAAAAGTAGTGTGTTTGAGATAGATTTGGATGTGCATAAGGACCCCATAAATCCACATGAATGAGTTCAAACACAGTACTTTGTCACTATTGTTGATGATTTTTGGTGTAAGATGCCTAATTTGGAAAATATGGACTGACAGTCTTGACTGATAAACTCTGAACCATTGTGAGTTCTAATGGTTTTGTACTTTGAGGGCAAATTGTGTTTGAACCATAAGAATGAATTGTACTTTGAGAGAAAGATAAACGTTGCTGTTTAGCAATAGGACAAATATCACAGTTTACAGTGGTATTCATTGGCATTTTTAGAGTAGAACTGAGTTGTTGCATTACAACTGAAGAAGGAAGGCCTAATCTAGAATGCCAATGTGCATTTAAAGCAACAACTATCTGATTATTACAAGGTAAAGATTTTGTATGTGTTTCTATAGTAGAATGAAGCAGAATTCTTGGCAAGTGAAGCTTTATTTGGCTGTGAACTTCTTGAGGATCAAAGGAGTCCTTTCTGATGGCATAGAGTCCTTTGTAGATTTTGGCAATCCCCAGGACCTGATTAGTCACTAGGTCCTGTATGATGCACAATTCAGCCAGAAAAGAGAAGTAAATATTGGCAGTTTGAGCAAACTTTCTGACAGAGATCAAGTTATATTTAAAGGTTGGAACAAAAAGTGCATCTGGAAGGCTGAGTCTAGGAGTTAAAAGAAGCTATTCCAATCTTTTCAACAAACTGAAAGCTACCATGAGGCAAACCTACTGGTATGATTTGACTAACAGGTTTATGATTGGAAAACAAAGACAAAGAATGAAGCATATGGCCTGTAGCTCTACTATCCAAAAAACCAGGATCATCATCAAATGAATTATAAGAACTGAGTTGATGATAAGTAGTGTTACCTGCAAACTCAGTGATGTGTGCGAAATTGACCCTGTTGTCCTCTTGCATAGCCATTTTTCCTTTCATCATCCTTCCAAATTCTTGCTGCAAGAGATTGATCTGATGAGCCATTGCATTCCAATCCTTAGATGACCCTTCCCCAAAATCCAGTGGAGTCTCCATTGGTTCAACAGCAGCAACATTTGCATAGTTCTTCTTTGGAGCTTTGGATTTATCTGGCCACCAATCTGGATATCCAATATTCACCTTAAAGCAATGCTCCTTGTCATATCCTCCTCTGTTACAGAGAGTACACCATCTATTATCAAAATGCTCAGACCTTCTCTTACCACCACTATTGAAGCCTCCATTATGAGGAAAACTCTGTATTATTGCTGATCCCTTTGATGAATTGAACTGTCCCTTAGAAAGCAAAGCCGTATTATCAACAGAAATTGATGGTGGTACCATCTGAGATGAACTAGAACTAGTACTCTTGGCAACATGGAATGCCATATTTTCATTGACTGTCTGAACAGAATTTCCTGAAATCTTCTTTTCTATCTTAAGGACCATAGAATATGCTTTGTTCACTGTAGGGGGCGGATCAAGCAATAGAATCTGATCCTTTATGGCCTCATAGCATCCATTCAATCCCATCAAGAACTCTATCAACTTATCCTCTTCAGCACGAACTTGCAAAATTCCAGCAACTTCAGGAGTACATACTGGAATCGGTCTATAATGGCCATACTCATCCCAAACTTTCTTAAGAGAATTATAGTATTTAACCAATGACATATCACCTTGTTAAATTACTCACCAATTCTTGACGCAAATTGTAGAGCTTATTGCTGTTAGATGTTCCATACTGAGAAGCCAGGTCTTCCCAAAGTTGTTGCGCCAACATTGTGTACATATATCCATCGGCAATGTCTGGTGATAAGGCGGCCATCAACCAAGATTTCACTGTTGAATCAACTTGCTTCCATCTGAAATGCTCAAGAGAGTTCACTGGTGGCTCTGGACATCTACCATCAATAAAGCCAACCTTCAACTTTGATTCAAGAGCAGTTTTCATTGATTTGCTCTATCCTAAGTAATTGTTTTCATTCAATGGCACAGAAATGAGTACTAATCCTGGATGTTCTGAAGCGTGAAGTGTCATTGTCGCCTCATAAATCCTTTGTTCCTCCGTCAATCGACGATCATTGTCATTGTTACGATCCATGGTGGTTTTCTAAATTCTTGACCAAATTGAAAAATTGAAACGGTAAGAATTATGCGGAAGTCGAGAAGAAGAAGATTATGGTTTTAATTTTCAGAGATCGAGCCTGGAAGCTCTGGTACCATGAAAAATGGAAGGTTTGGTCATGGAGGTTTAGGGCAGAAATACGGGATAATCCATTTGGGAATCTGTAAAAATTGTGTATTCAATTAATTCAGAAATAAATGTGTCTGTAAGGTATATATACATGTATACTTCTACCGTATTAACTATGTTACTAAATGTACAAGTATAACCCTATTCATTATGTACATGCTATTCTAACTAAAGAACATTTACGTAAATCAACAAACACCAAATATTTCTTGAATAATATGATCATCTTGATCCATTGTGGCTGCTGGAATCGGTGCTGGTTCTTCAACATGATGCTGCTGGATTTCATCTTCTGTTAACACCTCAAACTAAGTCCTTAATTCCGTGAATATTCCATCCGTTTTAAAATTATTATCCAGTTTCTAATTTTACTTTTAATACGGGATTTGTATTTAACATTCAAACTGGAAAATATTTTACTTTTAATGGTGGGTTTGAGTCTAGCCTATTGGCTCATCCTATGTAATCCAAAAAAAAGAAAAAAAACTCAGAAATGACATATTGAAGGGAAGTAACTTACAACATTGTGTGGTGGTATTGAACGTAGAATTACAGATGCAGGTGTTACGGAGAGTTAGGACATCAAATCCACATGCTCCGCCGGAGTTCCGACACCGGTCACACCCGGGCGACGACGACGAGGCCGGATTCTGAAACGACAGCTTCATTCCAAATGGCCAATTCACGGGCTCCTCTTCCTTAGTCAACTTGCCAACATCATAAATGCTAGTGTAATGCGAACACTTCAACTCACTCATGTTGTTCTTAACATTATTGTATTTGATGAAACAACAGGGTGGAAGATCATTATTAATATCCGTGAAGACCCTGAAGGAACTGCAACCCTCGTAGAGCTCGTAGCAAGAATGGCCGGAGATGTTGAAGCAGATGGAACTCATGTTGAGTACTACTTTGGAGCCGCCGGAGCAGTTCATCGGGATGAAAACGTTGCCGTCGGAAGGTTGACTGGCGATCGGTAAGGCGAAAAGTAGTTTGGTTCCGGCCGGGGTTTTGAAGGATGGAGCAAGTTGACATTGCCTGGTCGAAGATGGTCAACGCTTCGGTGTCGTAATCGATGGATTGGACCTTGTTGTTGCCGGACGGAGTTATGAAAAACAACGCCTCCTCGCTTCCTCCACCTCCACCGCCGCCGCCGCTACAGTCGAGCATGTGGCGGTACTGTGGGGAGCCGCAGCCGTCGCTGATGCCGAACGGATATTCAATCGGAATGCCGTCGCAGGAGCTCCGGCAAGAAGAACAAAGCACCGGGAGGAATATAGGCGGCATCTTTACTACAAGGATTAATAGTGGTAGTACAAATACAAGGACCATGGTACGATTCACCATTTTTCTCTCTTAATTTTCTGCTCAAAAGTAGAAGAAAAATAAAAGAAACGAATTCGGTCTGAGTTTAATTAGAACTTGTAATAATGTGATAGAACCTAAAAAGGCAACTAATAGAATTGAAGGGATATGTATGTACAGTATAATGACAACTGCACACATAGGTTTGGTTTCTTTTTTCGCAAGCTATATATATAGCTCTAAAAGATTATTAGTAGTAATTCCGAAGAATTAATCCAACAATTGGACACTGCTGTTCGGCCAAACAGTTTAGACTTTGAGTGAATCAATCATTATTTCATTACTTCATCATATATGTATGTCCAATGAAAAGAACCATTGACCTTTTGTTTGCCCAAAACCCAAAACTTTTTAATTTAATCGTTAAGAACCATTGTGCTGAAGCGAAATCCATTGTTTTGTTTTAATATGAAAATTATAACAGTCACTTCTGATTTCTTTACATGCAGTACTTATTATGATTGTTAATGTATGAATTTTACAAGGGCGGAATGAAAAAAAAAATCTTTATTCGAGCCTTCTTAACAATCATTCATGAATATAAACTGGAAATAAATAGTTCATCTTTAACCTCGGATAAGTGATAACAAGCTGGATTAGTTTATGATGGAATGATTTTGACCGTCGGTTTAAAGTAGAAGTTGCTGGTTTCTCTAGTGATATTTGGATTCTTTGAAAAGACGGGTTGAAAATGGAGATGATAATGGTGTTGATAGCTGTGTACCAGTTGAGGATACTAAAGAATAGTAAAAGTGTTTAAAGTTGTAATTAGTTTGAGATGTCATTGTTGGCCAAGTGATTACAGAAATAGAATAATATAATACTAGTGATCAGGGGACTGTGAACTTTTAGGGTTTCTGGCTTGCAATGGATGGGTGATAGAGGACAGTTGCAGTATATATATCTGTTGACTATTGGATCTAAGATGCCTATGAGGTCTAGATCTAATTATCAAATCACAACATCTAGTATTAAATCATATCAATCTCGCTAACAAACATGAAGAGCAAAGATGCTACCTACCCTCTGCATTCCATAAAATGTTGTGAAGTGAATGAAAACAACACAATCTTTGGTATTTTGAATTCAAAAAAGACAAAGTAAAAAAAGAACGAAAAAAATCTTCGGAGATGCTAATTACTAAGTACAATAAAGTCTACGATCCCCTTTTCAAAAAAAAAAAAAAAAGTCTACGATCCTTGATCCAAGCTTTAACAAGGTTTTTTTTTCCCCCTTAAATTTAATTTTTTTAGTGGCTCTCGCACTCAATTAAGTGACTGATCTTGTGTCAAAGTGAAATTATCATCGACAACTAGCCTCAACAGTTTATAAAAGTAAGTACTATTATTCCGTTTTCTCTGCTTTACTAGGAATATACATATATATATTGACCCCTCTAATTCCCTTGTAGTTAATTTTGATCATTAATCAAATTAAAATCGATTTGATCTAGGCCATGTGTCAAAAGGATGAAACTATATAACTTTGTAAAGAGGTTGGCAACAAATCAACCCGTGGAAATTGTCAAATGAAGAAGACTGCCATATGTCGTCGACCTAACTTTTGACGTGATCAATGTCGACAAAGCTGAAAAGAAAATGAAATTAACAGTCGTCGGACTTTTTGTCTACTTGTCTATGTTAATGAATATGTCGACGTGACAGTTTTTTCTTTTTTTTTTTTCTCTTTTTTTTGACCATACCTTTCTTTTGAAATAAAATTATATTATATTATTTTACTGGAAATCGTCCACTGTTAATTAATTATATATATATATATATATATTTTGTGGCAAAAAGGGAAGATATGTGAATCCTATATGGATTTCCATTTTTTTTTTGGGCAGAAAAACTCTCGAATGTTTGGCCGCGTGATTATCCGTCTTACTACTAGGGGACTTGTGTTGAGATTTAAATAGGGGGACAAATGTGGTACTTTCCTAGATTGGGACTTGTGTTACTACTAGGGGACTTGTGTTAATATGTCATACATGATTTCAATCTACTATGATTCTATCATACATCAATCTTGGATTCATTACCCAAGATCTGTTTGTTAAATTCAAATATTTCGAAATCACAACTTCATTTTATTTTTGAGTTTCAATCAAAAGTCAAAACTTGACCCACCCGTTTAAGTTTGCATGTCTGCAATATTATTGGTCAAATGCAATATAGCTCATGATCTCCATTATTGTATTACATATATAAACTCCTTGAAAATTGCAAAACCCGTGATGCTTCAGGATGTCACGAGAAGCATTTTTTTTCTTCTGCATTCTACGTATGATCGTGATCACTATCTCCTACGTGTAGCTCAATTTTTGACCTGGATGAAATTCACTCGACGGTTATGATGATGCTAAAAATCAGTCAAACGGAAGAAAAGTAAATAAAACTCGCTAAAGATAAGGCAGAGGCGGAGATAGGGTGGGGGCAGTGCCCCCAATGAGTTGGGCCCACCATAAGATAATTTTATAATATTAAATATATTAAAATAAGGGAGTGGCTAAAGTCCCGTTACGAAACGGTTTCGTTTTAAGTTAATTAACTGTAGGATCAATTAAAATAATTAACAACCATAGGATTAATACGGGAGTGCATCATAAGAAAATAGATCCAACTCCATCTGATTATACTTTTTTTGCTCTATGCCTTTGTTTGGGAATATCATCTGCCCTTTTATTGCTAGCTTGATTTTGAGTTTTTCAACTCTCTTGGTTTTTTGTCTAGCTCTTGGATTTTGCTTTATTAATATATATACATATATATATTTTTTATTTTTTTTGCTTTATATAAATGAGGAAAAAATTAAAATCCAACAACAAGTGTAGCAGACAATTTATCCAAGAAAAATAGTAAAGTGATTCTTATTTGTAATATTTATCAGGTAATTTACAAATAGTTTTATTTTCTTGGAAGAAAAAGAAAATGTATATGAATCCGGACGTATATATGATAACGGTAAATACAAAATGAATTCGGATATAATTAAATTACTTGCTGCCTAGCTAGAAGCTCCAACAGTACGTGGCCAACTTAATCAGTCACTGATCATCTCTAATGATTATTAGTAGGTTATAATAATTTTTTTGAAAAAAAATTAATGAAAGATTAGTTTGGGATATTTTAGAATGTTACTCATCCCATGATCACATCTTATACCCTCAATTTTGAATGGTTGAAGAAAAAACGGGACGGTTCTGTAACGAGACTCTAGATTTTCCCTTAAAATAATAAAATTTGAGTAATTAGTTTGATTAAATCATTAAACTGAGGACACTCTTAATAAGAATCCCTTTTACCCTATTAAAGCAGAATACAGGATGTTGATGTGACAACGTTTTATTAAAAATTTTTGGCTCCAAATACACCATATTGCATTAACCATTCTGCCACGTGTCATCCATTTTTAAAAGAAAATAAAATTTTTATCCGGAGAAATAAAAGTTACTTTACAAAAATAACTACACAATTTTAACTGCCAACATTTATCATTTATCAATCAAATTAAAATAGCATTTAAATTTGCCCATAAACGTATCCCCTTTATTACTCCACATTTTTTTGTATGATTTCTGAATCATTGTACTTTTCAATATTTGTTCTCCTTTAGCAGATGATTTTTTTATTTTTATTTTTGGCTAAAAAGGGGAAAAAACCAATGTGTAGCTATTTTATTTTTCCAAATCAAGATTTCATTTATCTACTAACACAAAATTAAAGTAGAGGGGCGCCCGGGCATCTGGCCGGGCCAAGCGAGATGCCCGGGCCAAGCATCTAGTTTATTATTATGACTCAAAGTGATCCAATAGAGTCTTATGTTTAAAGAATAAAAAGGCCCAAAATCTAGCCCGTACTGAAATGCAAACAACTAAAAAAAGAAACAATTTTTGTTAGGCTCTGTTTGGTTGCATTGAATTGGGACCAAGAATTGGAATTGAAGTTCTTTAATTCCAATTCTTGTGTTTGTTCGGTAAAAATAGAGATCCAAGAATTGGAATTATAATTCAAGATGGGGCTCAATTCTTTAGTTTCAATTCTTTTGTTTGAGCAAATAATTGGAATCCAAATTCAAAGACGTCAAAAAAATATGCGGGTCATAACCGGGTCATTTCCGCGTTATAACCTAAACTGGTTACCCTCTCAATTTTTGTCTTTTGGCCTTTTTTTATATACATATTTTTTATTTTGATTTTATTGTTTTTCAGCTTTTTTCTTTTTCTTTTTTTGCTTTCATCGCTTTTTTCTTTTCTTTGTTTTTTTTTTGGGTTGTTTGTCTCATTATTATTATTATTATTATTATTATTATTATTATTATTGTCATATATATATATATATATCAGTTTAATAAGTATCAACGAAATCAATCTAAAATTAACATTGTATCTTTTTTACAAAAAATCAAAAATATAGCTGTACCCAAAAAAAAATTAATAACTAAATATTTTAGTTTTGGGTTAAATTTTTATTATATTATGACATAGTAAACAACATAACATTTTCAATTTTTTTTAATACAAATTGTTCCATTTATACACCTATATTATAATACATACATATATATATATATTAGACTATTCATGACATCTTTTCATCAAAGATTATGTAAGTTGAGTTTTAAGTATCTATTATTTCATAGGAAAATGATATATTTAGTGAAAAAAAATAGTGAAAAAAGATACTGAGTGATGTGGCTTATTCTTGGCCCCTAGTTTTTTGTCACTTTCTCGTTAAAATTTTATCTTGCTCTAAAGAATTATATTTTTACCCTTTATTAATAAATACACATATTTAGTGAGGATGGTGTATTTTTCTTTTCATTAGTCACTATAATTTTTCACTGTAATTAGTCACTATCTCTATCATTGCTCTATTTCATATATAATTATATACTAGAATAAAAACATTTAAGCATATATTATATACTAATGTTAATCTATGTATAAATGAACCTCAATATTCATAAACTGAATTTACAATGTTATATAATAATTTTTTTTTAATTTTTGATATAAACTAAAACATAAAAAATAAAAAATTTTGAAAAATAATAAAAGAGAGGAAAACAAGGATGTTTTACGTGTTACTTGTTTGTGTATTAAGTGAGAATTTTAAGTATCTTATTAATAATTCTC